TAAAAGATATTTAATCACGATTTTGTTTTTGTCTGGAAATTATAATAATTTCTGTTGCGATTACGCATTACGTTTGTATAGCAGACATTGCTCAAAATTAATAAAAAAAATTTTAAAAAGCGGGTAACTGGATGTCGCTCTGCTGTACAGTTGATTATAACTTATAATAAGTTTAAATACGAAAAACGATTCTGAACGGAGACGGTTTTTCGGCCGTTACTAGTTATTCAAATTCAAAAATATAAGATACAATAAAAGTACTTCTTTTTTTATTTTAATGTGAACATAGAATATATGAGTCTACCGATAATTAAAAATACTTTAAAAATCCTAGCAAATATAAATTATTCAATATGAGAAATTACTTACCTCACTAATTCAATATTTTAATTTCACGAAATTATTCTATATTAGTTATAATGAAAGTAGGTTTTGCACTTTTGCGTACTCTTTAGTCTTTAATTAATAATGGTTATACACAATATACACTTATACTTACAATTTATTTGAATAATTTTAATCCGCAAGGTGCAGCACGGTGGTTGGACGCAGTCAATAGCGTGGTGAACGGGGTTCTTTGACACTTCATTCCTTAACTATAAAAGTTGAATATTCTATACATTTTTAACTACTAAATAATTTGTAAATTTTGTCAAAATTTGAACTTCAAACGCTCATAAAAATGTATTTTGACATTCCGGTGGATATTTATTTTGATAAACGTAGACAGGAAGTTTATGAGGAAACTTGTATTATATTTTTAATTCTTAGTTTTAAAAAGAAAAGAATTTATGAATTCCTAAATCAAAATAATTTACACATTTGCGTGATTTTGATGTATTTTGTCAAAATTTGAACTTTAAATATTTTTCAAAAAAAATAGTGACTGTATTTTTAATATTTTTCAACTGTCATTGTAATATTTCAGGAACCTTGTAATAATTAATAAATGTTCAAGGTTTTCGACCAAACGAAGAAAAAAAGCTAGAAAAAAATAGAAACTGATAAATGAAAATGTCCTTACAACAGCTAAAACCAATTCAAAATATTTTGAAAATGTTATAGTGTATAGAAAATTCTAATATAAACACTTAGCGATATTTCAAGTATCTACGGTCATTTGTTTAGAAGGTACACCAACAACCAACATAGATTTTGTCGAAAATTAATTTCTGTTTTTCCCGGAGCTTTTGGGAATTATAAATTTTGACCTCCCCAAGCCCCAACTAGATTCACTTTCCCATCGAAGTTATTGAACAAGATGCTGAAGTTGAAAATAGAAGCATTATTTTAACTACTTATAGTGTACACAGACACGAAAAAGACATATAACTTTAAGTCTTTAAAATCAATAGATCGGAATCTAAAATTACAGATTTACTTTCAAATATTTAATATTTATGTACTTTGAAATTGTTGCCTAATGAGTAATGGTTATATTATATTTAGTATTTTGATTGTTTTAATGAATAATTATTTTGTGTTTATTTCGTTTCAGGATTTGGCCCTAAGTCCTAGACTTGTTCCAATAATAAGTGCCAGGTGGTCTATAGGTAGGTACCTACTCTTTGTTGAGTTTCTCTTAGTTTTTTGTATTTTCTGCATTCCTCGAAAATGTGTTGGAGATGAAATGTGAGGGGATGGTACCAGGCGCGGACTGGCTGGGATGCTGGGATGCTACAGCATCCCTTGCCCTAATATATTATTTATTATATTATATTTAAAGACTCTAAACACCTAATTAACAGCAGATTATTACCAACTTACAATTACTAGTAATCTATAATATTGTACAATTTTCATTGAAAGTTAGTTATAACTTGGACACTTGGTACTTATTTACGTTTTTAACTTATATTCAATATTTTTTAAAACAATATAAAATATATTAATATTTTATAAATAATCTACATGTATTAAATTTGCCTCAACAATTTTTGGTATTTGCCTTTTAAATTGTGTAGCATCCCTTGCCCTATTTTACCAGTCCGCGCCTGGATGGTACTGCATGATTGGTGATTGTTGGTGGGTCACTGGGTTACCTTTTGCAGTTTTGCCATCAAATATAAAATACGTGTCAGTCTTGTGTGGCTAATTCTGGCCCTATTTAGTTATTTTTCGTTTGTAATACTAGTATATGGTTTTCTTTTCCATCTTTTGACTGTTTGTCTAATTTGGTTTATTTGATTGTTTGGATGTCCAATTTATTTTGCCTCAGGGAGGTGGTGTTTTATGTTATATACTTATATCTTACATCTGTCATCTGTGTTGATGTATTTTGAGCAGGTGAGAGGATAGCTAGTTTGATTTGTTTATCTGCCCTTTTGTTGCCGATTATTCCTGTGTCCTCCAGGTACCTATCCAATATCCAAATTAGAATAATGTTATTGTTGTCTTCTAGTCTGTTTTGTATTTGTGTTGCTACATCACTCCCGATTAAATTTGTATTTAACACTCATGAGGAAGCTTAACGAATCGCTTATGATAATATTATATTTATTAGTTTAGGTTCTCGTTTTTTTTATGTACTTTATGGCCAGTTATAAACAATTTACAATTTTAAAATACTCATAATTTACTTTAAAATTAAAATATAAAAAAGTAATTATCTATAGTCTATAGATAAGTAGTTATTAGTATGTACATATTAGTACATAACATTAATAATTACCACAAAATGTTTATAATTATATATATAGGTATACTAAGAGGATGTCACAAGTGCAAGTGTCTTCTCCATCTTACACATGTACTACATAGACAAAACGAGTTTATGCAGGCTGTGTAGAACTTGCTCAATATTGGTGTTAGGACAAAAAGACACCTATTACAAAATTAAAAGATTAAAATATTTCGGAGGGCAAGACTTTGATTTTTTTTTAAATTTTGAAAAGTTAAGGGTCATTTTAAAATGTTTGTTATTCTTAAACGATATAATTATTGGGAAAAATGGATAAAAACGTACCATCAATATTTTCACAATTCAATTGTACAATTGGTATTTTTACTCTAGAACCAAAATTGGGCGAATTATACCCAGAATGAGTAAAGGCATTTTACTTAAGTCGTATGTGTGTAAGGCGGAGACAAAACATGTGGGTGTGAGTATGTGACATCCTCTTAAAAGGATTGAGGTTAAAAACATTTAAATGATAAATAAATACATTGGATATTTATTTTGTGGTTAAATTTTCCAAAAACTCAAACATAGTTTCACAAAACAATAGCTTATATTAAAAAAAAAATAATAATAATTACTCTGTAAACAATTATTAGGTCAAAATTGATTTTCAAGAAAACTTATTACTTTTTTTTTTTAAGATAAAGGAAATAATTGGTACAATGAAAAGTTCAAGTCCAAATATCTTTTCACGTTAAAATTAGTTTATTTGCTCCAGACACAGATAATGTGACTTGTTTTATACAAAATCATAATATTCTGGTAACAAATTTTGTACAAAACAAGTACAAACGGAAAAATAAATATTTATAAAGTAAAAAAAAAATCTAAAACAATCAACAAGGAATATAATATTATATAATATAATGAAGGTACTATTGCATGTGAGTTAAAATACAATTAATCTTCAAGTGGGAAAAGTAAATTTTAATTTGTTATCTAATAAATACTTTTAATTTACAAATATTTTAAATTATTTAACATAGTATAAATTTAAAATTTGCTAGATTTTTCCACGATTATGCAATATAATATGAAATGTTAACAAAGTAATAACTAAAAAGAAATTGTTTAATTTGGGAAAATTTAGAATGGCAGTGTGTTTGCATCCTTTAACATAAACATTCCCACAAATCTTTTCTAATTGACTGAAAAAAAAAATAGATAACCGCTTTGAGCATATCAATTTTTTTTATATGTGAAACGCGTGCCCAACATGATAAAGAACCAAACATAACAGAGAAAAATATATATAATTTCCAATTGTTCTACTTTCAAAATCACAGACCACTCAGGACAAAGTCCTCTCATCACTATCCACACCCAACAAACTTTAACAATTCCTTAGAAATTTTTTTCCAAAATAAAATTTTAAGTACGTGAAAAAATCTTAATTAGTAACATTAAATTATAATTTTTTTGTTAGAATTAATATTTTAAATTTTAATAGACTAGAAAAAAGATCTGTAAATAAAATAGGTACACATAAAGCTGACATACATAAAATTGTTTTTTTTCTTTAAACCTAATAAACACATAATATTTTCTTTGAATATCTAATACAAAATTAAACATTTATATTATATACATATAATATTGGTTATATAATTGTATATATATTTAAATTGATTTTAACTTTTTAACTTTTCTTATGTTATGGAAAATTTGTCTAAATTTTGTACTCTCGAGACACTAAAACTTTTTAAGCACTAAATGATAAGGCAAAAAAAAAAATATATATATAATGTGTAACAGGCATAATTATTGTTATTTGATAAAATGATATACTGTTAACTCGAAAGTATTGATAATGTAATTATTAATTATTATAAAATGTCATAAATAAATACACATAACTGAATAAATTTTGGAATGATTAATAAGCTAAAACAAAAATATTTAACAAAATAAATGTCAACTTTCGGGATAAAATTTAAACAACAATTTTCATAATAAAATATAAAACAAAAACATATATCTGATAGTTACTAGAATTTAAAAAAAAAATGTTCAACAAATATTGCACTAATGGAGAAATTATGAGATGGAACAACACTTAAACAACAAGCTAGAAAAGACTTTAACATTGCACAATCAGTTGGTAAACTCATGTGCAATTAGAACATAAATCAGATGCCTTAGTAAAATTCACATTCCTTTAGGACGAATTGAATATCATCCCCACCACCTTGTCATTTTATACTATTCGTTAGACCTGCTAAATTAATTTAAAACATTTTTTTTAAATTTCATTTGTTTGCTTGTGTGAAAAAAAAATGTAATTATATATTTTTTTTTATAACTTTTTATACATGGAGGTTTATTGTGGACTGACACTTTCAGCTGGCACTGAAGTTGTTGCTGTAGTGCTTTTTTCGTTGCACTCAGCCATCTTTTCGCAATAGTCCCTGAAATAATCGCGGAAGCGGGACCATGACTTTTCTGGCACAGTGATTGCCGTTCTAAAGTTTCCTTTAACCTAATATTTAAAATAAAATTAGTTTACAATTAAATTAAAAAAAATATATTAGATGGTTTAATGAAGAGTAATTTAGACTTGCCGTAGTTGTTACCTCCGATATGCGCATGTAAATGCCACGATTATTTTGGCCAACATCAAAATAAAAATTTTTGTTATCAACCCTCATGTGACGACCATCAGGCAAGTCACCTTTGAAGCCACCATCATCTGTACCAAATTCATCTAATAGATCTGTCAAGTTATCACGGAACTCAATCATCCCTTGCGCTGGGATAGCAACTTGAGAACGTGGGCCACCACGAGTTATGGTCTGGGAGACCTATTTGATGTTTAACACGATAAAATACATGTTAAATACACCATATTATATAATTTCTAAATATGATAAATTTGTTTTTAGAAAAACAAAATTATTCACTTACACGAAGAAATCTTCCACGAGCGTTCTCCTTTAGGTCTAAATAATAACGACGGTTGTCCTTGATCATCATTTCGGACTTCAATTTTCCATCTTCAGGAACGGTATCTGGATTGGGCGGTCCTGTACATATATGTTTATTTATATTTAATATACAAATTTAAGATATACATAAAAAATAAACTCAGTTGTTCAACCCAAACCAAGCTTACATTTTTTTTTAATCTATCCCTTCATACCAAACAGAATCAAACTATTTAAATTTTATAATATTACGTCAGCAAAACGATGACAAAAGATATGAAAAAATAGTATACTATATTTACCCTACAATAACAATAATAAACAATAATTTAATTAAGAGGACGTGCTATCCGCATGTGTTGTCTCCGTCTTACAAGTGCATAACATAGCAAATTTTACTCTCAGCATAACACGTGTAGCTCTGTTAATTTAAAAACTAGAGTAAATTAACCTCTTATAAAATATAAAGGTAAGATATTATCTAGACAACCTCATGGGCTTTTTTTAATATTTTAATTTTTAAGCTAGTGATGAGTAGTTTAAGATCTATAAACAATTTTAAAATACTCATGGCTCGCTTAAAAATTAAAATATAATAAAAAGCCCATGAGGTTGTCTAGATAATAATCTTACCTTTAGATTTTATAAGAGGTAAATTCACTCTAATTTTTAAACTAACGGAGCTACACGTGTTCTGCTTTGCGTAAAATTTTCTATGTTACACACTTGTAAGACGGAGACAACACATGCGACATGCGGGTATCACGTCCTCTTAAAATGTTGTTTTATCATTCTTCATTCAATTTAGTTCAAATTTTTAATCTAAACTTAGGCATGTGGTTTGGTATAATTAGTTTATACTTAATAGTAGAACATTTACGTTCAACCCTACAAATCTGACAATATACACTAATTCTTTGATTCTAGATTAGATAAAGGGTTTTGTAAGGGGGAAATATTGAAAATATCAAGTAACAGAATGATGTAACTTGCACTCATTATTGCTACCTTAAAATGTGTTTTACAAGGGATTATATTTGTAACCAAATATCCAATAAAAAAATTATTATTATACTTTAATACTTAAGTAGGTAATATCTCTAAAAATCAAGAAAATATAAATTTCTTTGAATAACACATTTTAGACTTTATAAAGGTAAACTAAAATGTATTTATTTATTTGTATGGCTGACTAAAATGTATAGCTAAGAGGTCATAAGAATTTATTATTTCACCAATTACCTTAAAGGTCAAGAATATTTACCTAATTGTGAATAAAACTCGCTGAAAGTACCAAGATGATCTCTGAAATCGGCCGCAGTGGACAAAGCCAAAAAAATTTGACTTCTTCTACCATCAGCTCCAATCTATAAAAATGATAAAAATAATTAATAATAATAAAAAGGCATACATTTAAACATTTAAACACATTTTTGGGGGTACCTTAAATTACTTTTTTTTTAATTCAAACTGATGTTAAACACAATGATTTTCAACTAGAATAACAAATAGTATATTATGTATAATATATTCTATAATACTTACTTCAGCGACTTTTATAAACTTTCCTCTTCTATTTTGTTTAACATCTAAGTAAAAGCGTTTTGATTGTATTTGAAGCATTTTGGTGGCCAGCTCTTGCTCATTGCTTTGCTGTTGTTGACCTATATTACAATAAACAATTGATGTGAATAAATTAATTTGTATAAACTTTCGGTGAATATAATTTAACAAATAATTATTATCTAGAAATATAAAAGAATATACAAAAATTAACTATTAAAAAACATCACAAAAGATATGTTGTACCGAATATAATTTCCCTATCGATATCTGACATGATAAAGTCGTTTTGCAAATCGCGGTTTTGCATTCTATTTTAATACCAGCTTAAATCGAATGACTTGCAAACGTACATAATTATTCTTTAATATTAAAACGATAACTGAAAACATTTGAGGTCATATTTCGCTAACAAAAGATCAACAGCGGAGCAACACGACTAAAGGGGTACAACACTTGGGGATGGCAACAACACTACTGGTAGGGATTAGGTCAGGGCGCTCAATAAGTGGGTCACGTCAGCTGACTCGCCGCATAAAGGGCTGCGGATAGCACCATAACGAGAAATAATTAATATTTTTTTAAATTTATTTTACGGAATTGTTAAGAGGGGCTTTTTAAATTAATTTTAGTTCGATTTTTCAACCACACACTTGAATACTGCGCAAAATGTTTAAAAACTAAACAGATTTACCAAAACGACATTATTCGAAATTAATATTAAGAAAAAAAAATTATAAATTAAACCGAACAGATAACCAAGTATATACCTAGGGTAGGTACCATAAATAAATTGTATTTTGTTAAATCCCTTACATAGAAGATTAAAACTTAAAGTACTGAATACATATTATCATACATATATGATAGATTATTATATTCAAACGTAAATATTTTGTATATAATAAACTGTAATTGAAAAATTTAAATATTTATTTCCAGAATAAGTATTGAACACTTTTAAATTGATGGAAATAAAACTAACGATTAAAAAATACTATAGATACACCCATCACCTGTCGGAAAATAAATACCGTGAATCGAAATAATAAAAAAGTGTGTCAAAATTGTATACTTGTGTTCGAGGATTTTGTAGTTAATTGTGAAACATAAACTACAGCATAAGAATAAATAAATAATGTAATTAAGATCGTAAAAGCATTTTAAACAAACCATCTTGATAATTAATTAGGTGTGGGCGGCTATACGCCTAAACACGACATTTTCGGTCGAATTCAATATTCATTGTTTTATATTTGAGTGAGCCATACGTCATGTACTTATGTCCACTACGGAAAACGCCATCGAGCCTGCGTTTTGGCTGGTTACGATAAAGTAATGAAAATGCACACTCCTAATTTTAAGCGTTTAAAAATATGGGATAGGCTATACGTGACAGATAACGCCGTGTTTGAACAATCAATTTATGCGGCGGGAAACGCTGTTGCCAGTCCTAAATTCTCATTAAACTAGGTTTAACTTATATTTATTAATACTGGCCGGATATCTAAAAATAACGATACATAAACAAAATCATTTGGGATGCTAAAAATATAATTATTATCTAGTTTTCTATTAACAATAGTATTCGATTTAATGCATGAAAATTGTGATATTTTTTTTTGTAAATTACAATTTTTCTCATAAAATTGTGAAAAGTGTGACAATTGGAAATTACCTGTAGAGTCATGGGTCAAGATTATATTTTTTATAAGAATAGCTGAAATACTAATTACAAATTCCAAAAAAAGGGGAGGAGAAGTAAGTATCCGCTCTGCTATATAGTAGATGTTAAGTAAATACCTGGTCATTACCAGGTCATCAAGTATAGGTACTGTAATGGATGTGTTAAATTTGAATTCAATGGTAAATAATTTCCTACGATAAACGTATTTGAACCGAGATGGTAAGCGTAAGCTTATTATAATATATTACAATTAATTATTATAGTAAATAGTAATTTGTTTTACTATTAGTAATATGCCAATACGGTATAATCTATAAATAGGCGATAGCATTAGCATAAAATAAGTCTAAATGTTATGGTGTAGGTATATAAAATATAATAATAATATATACGTTAAAAGTTTCAAATTACCACGAAAAATATTTATGAATTACAACAAAAGAACAAAAATAGTTATTCTTCGTTTTAATAATAATACCTAATCCAATTTCGTCCAAATTTTAACTTAAAATGTATATAAAATTAGATTTTTAGTATCAGACAGAACTACTTATGAGGAACTTCGGCAATTTTAAATGTCCATAATTCAAGAAATAAACATTCTTTTTATTTATCAATTATTAAAACTAACTACGTCATACTACCCTGCAATATATTAATGTCATGTGAAAACTTTTTCAATAGCTTGGACCTTTTCAATATGACTCTAAATTCTTTAAATTGCTATAGCTATTTTTAGATTATTTTAAGTTTAATAAATTATCAAATTTTTAATTTCTATCAAGTATATATATATTCTACTTTTCTCTATTATTTGTATACTTTTTATTTTTATTTTATTATAATTCAAGCATGCACTGTCATTAGAATACTATAGTAAATTGGAACTTTATTCCGTTAATACAATATTATTATTATTAATATTATAGATTAAAACTTGTCAAATTATTTATAAAATTATACTTAATTGATTTTGCGTACAAATTCCTTTTAAATTCTGTGTGGAACGATGAATGTATTGATTTTACAATGAAGTGTGTTTTTTTTTTGTGTGTGTCTGTCATCACGGTTTGGGGCAGTAAACCTGCTTCGATTTTCTTTAACAGTATCTTGTTCGATGGGAAAGTCCTTTAACTGGAGTTCAAATTTTAAAATTTGTTCAAAAGCGCCGGAAAAAACAACATAAGCCTTAGGAAAAAATTGGAATTTTTACGCAAAATAGGTTTTTGACAAAATCGAATTTGGTTTTTGAATATGTATAAATAGTACATGTATTAATTTCATATACATGAAATTTTCACTGGTTGTTTAATATTTTGATTTGTTTTGAACAATTTACAGACATTCAGTTTCCAATATTTTTAATTTTTTTTCTACGAATGTCAATAAAACTTTATTTGTTGGGCAAAAATGCTTAAAAATTTAATACAAGGCTCCTACTATATTGTTACAATGACATTTGAAAAATATTAAAAATCCTTAGTCACAGTTTTTTTTTATAAGCATTTAAAGTTCAAATCTTGACAAAATACGGAAAAATCAAGAAAATTAGCAAATTATTTTGAGTTGAGAGTTCATAAAAATTTTTCTTTTAAAATCTAAGATTTGAAAATGTAATACAAAGTTATTCATAAGTTTGTCTACTTTTATCCAAAAAAAAATGTCTTCAAGCAAATCAAATAAAATTTTTATGAGAGTTTGAAATTCATATTTTTACAATATTGGATATTCACTCGATTACTCATGCAGCGGTTTTCTTATTTTGTTGTTATTCAAAAACGAATAACTGTAGATACATGAAAATTTTACTGCATGTTTATATTTTCATTTTCTATACTCCATAACATTTTGAAAAAATAACAGACTCTTTTTGAGCTGTTTACGAACATTGTCAATTTTCAATTTTTTTTTTTTTCAATAAATATCGATAAAATGTTATTTGTTGGGTAAAAAAAGCGTGAAAATTTAATGCAAGGCTCCTGATATATTGGTACAATAGCAGTTGAAAAATATTAAAAATACAAAAGCACAATTTTTTTTTATAAGGATTTAAAGTTAGAATTTTGAAAAAATTTAATAATTATTTTGTAGTTAAAAATTTATAAAATGTTCAACTTTTATAGCTAAGGATTGAAAATTTAAAACAATGTTTCACGTAAACAGGCTATATATAAATTACTCTATTCACAATAATATCATCAAATGATAAATATACTTAGGAATATCATAGGGTGGCTGACCGTTTTCGCTCAGAATCGTTTTTCTTATACAATGATATCATATTAACATTGAATTCAAATTTAACACCGTCCATTACACTGTAATGATTCCAGTGACCAACTTGTAACCTTCTGTACAGCTTCCATCCACTTACCCACTTTCTTTTTATTATTATTTTAAAAAACATTAGATAATTTTAAATTTGGACCTTTCAAAAGAACCGTCTAGATCCATTTTGCTACTAGAATTCACCCTCAAAATTGAAGCATTTATTAAACTACAAATAGTGTATACAGAAAAAAACACACATCGCTTCACTCTATTAACGCCGTGTACTACAGGAGAGTCCGACGAAAAACAAAACAGCTTGTATTTTGCTGCATTGTCAGAATAGCACGATCAGAATAGAAATCTTCGGACTTGCTAGATTTTCATAGGACACCGAGTAAACTTTAAGTACTTAGTACATATATGATGTATGATGTATTATGTATTATAATATGTGTTATCTTTTATCATGGATGTTATTATGACAACAATATGATGGGTGATAAATCATACCTAAAATAACAACAATTATTTAATAATAGATTTTTTTAAATAATTGAATCATTTAACTTTACCAAAAGGCAAATAGGTACTACTTTAAAACAAAAGAGGATCGTAGCCGATCAAACAAATCAAAAAATAATTTAATACTGATAGGCGATACCTATATATACTGTACTGTCCTCAAGTCTTTTCGTAGCTGGTATGGACTTCCAATATAGTATACATTTCTAACACGTATATTTTCTTTTTTGGAACTATTCTTTTATTAGTAAATTTGAAAGAAAGATTGGTAATCAGTACTCATTAGTTTAATTCCAATGCCATTAATTCTAATATAGTAAATAAGTGTTGGTTTATTAGTTATTAGTTTATTACATTTACATAATAATTATTGGTAAAACCCCTGAAAAACCACTTTCTTTTTAAATTATCATTTGTATGATAAACAGAACTGTTCTATTAAAAATTTTAACGCAGTTTTCGAAATAAAAGTTAAGAACTAATTTTTGTAGAATGGGCATAATAATAGGTACATAATATGAAATATGCATGCACTAGTCATAAATAAATACTATAATGTTATAATATTTCTTATATTAAATGGTCATTGGTCATAAATCATAATACATAGCAGTCCAACATAATTATATATGTATATACATATTTAATGTTTATAATGTCTTTATAAAATTTGATTGATAAATTAAAAATAATAAATATATAACATATAACATATTAAATATAACATATCAACAAAAAAGGTATACATCTATTACAATATGGAAAATATATCGATTTAATTCTACAATTTATGGTTATTTAAAGAGTACATATTTTTACCAAACAGAAATTTAAAAAATAAATTTTTATTTTGAATTGTTTGAATTTATTACTATTTAGTTTATACATATTGTGAATTATTACTTATTAATCAAACAACAACTCCCCCCCCCCCCCCTGAGTCAATATATTTTTTTCACACATAATAATAAATTGGAAAATAGGTTTTTTTGATTCACCCGAAATATACGATTATCATAATATCAGTTTTGATATATCATAATATATACATATTTACATATATATATAATTATTTATATTTGATTATGTTTTAATAAAATATATATATTTAATTATTAAAAATGTATGAAATAATTGATAAAATAAAATAACGGAATAATCTAGGGGTAGGAATTTTGTGTTAATTTAAAAATATCCAATAGATTACCAAGGGATGACTGCCAGTAAGATATTCTTCCATAATTCCAATTGACATTATCTTCCGAAGTACGCCCAGCGTTTAAGCCGGCAACCCCCTCATTTGATGATATCTCCATTCATAAATTACATACACCAGTCAACACTCTTAAATTGACACTTTATAACTACACCAAAACATTAGACATCGACTGATCGCAAACCACAACTGACAAGTGACAACTTGAATTGGTTGTATATTCCGTGTCATGCCCATTCCCTATAGAACCATGTGCCTGGAAATAATTACGAATCTTTTGGCTGCGGTGACGCGTCTCTTACGGAAGACCGAATGACTCAGACGTCAGTCATCCCCACCCCCGCTTAAATACAGGACGATTAACGTGATCCAATGATAAATACACATACCCGAATTGCATAAATAATCACATGGGAATACCCAATTAATACATTGAAAGTTGAAACAGTGTCAATTCAATAAAAATACTAAAACAATGTAATATATTAGTTATTTGTTTGAATATAACTAATTATATAATATTATAATAATATATATATATAAAAAAAGTAATTGTTTAATTGATTAATTTAATATGATACTACAATTGAGTTTTTGTGGGTAGGCTATTGAACAAACTTCAGAGATAGAGAAATCAATAGAGAAATGTTAAATAAAATATATAGCACAAAAATTAATGAAGAATGTATATTATATAATATATAATTATTATATTATTATAATTCATATAATAGGTGGGCAACAATTATCTTTCCACCTTTTCTTTCATTTCTTTATAATACCTAGTGCAATTAAAAAATTGGTAATGTTTTACAAATAAAAAAACATTTGTTTACTAATATTACTAGAAATATTAGACTAAACTACCTGAGTAATGTAATGCAATATGGTTAAATATTATTTTGTAATGGTTTAATAGAGCTGAGCAGCTGAAGTGTATTTTACTTAGTTCAATGAAGTCCACCAACTAATTTACTTCACTCAACATTTACTTTTTTTTTAAATTATCAACAGAAATACAAATTTAATTTTTAATTGTTTCTTAACTATCTTTATTATATTATTTTTATATATTCAAGAAAAATGTTTTTTTTTCATTTTAAATTTTTATAAAATATATTTTACATATACAAATTTGCTCACCATTCAATTAAGAACTATGGGAACATAAATAAATAATATTATTCCTAAAATATAGATAATAACCTATTATTATTATTTTGACAAAAAATATTTTGTACACTGGTATTTCTCTGTTATTTTATCAATTGTCACCCAACGCAAGTAAAAATAGTATGAAAATTATATAATTTGACGTGGCTGAATTTTCATTTAATAGATATAATAATATTGTGCAGATGGTAAAAACTTGATTGTGATGAAATAAAAATAAAAATAAATATATACACATTTTAGAGAATTATAATTTTTAATACTATATTCAATTCTTTTATTTGTTTTGTTTCAATACTCGAAATATGAATGCATAATATTTTAGGAAATTATACATCAAAAATACTCCCTTTACATTGTTAATTCAGCAAAATATTCTAACAAAATTATGTAAAACGTAACTTTTATTATATTAGTTTAGGTTTTAATTGTAATATATAAATAAAATATATAAATTGGTTTTACTAGAATATTTTATTATTACAGTCAAATGTATTTAAAATATGACTACAAAAGAAAAAACATAATATTATATTCATCAATGATGATACAAAATTTAATTGGGAAACAATTAAAGACAATCCTAGGAAAAGACTAAAAAGGCGGTGGTGTCGGGACCTATTAATTTAGTTAATTACCTAATCTTTTTCTATTTATAAATAATTGTTAACTTATTTAAATGTATATAAACAGCTGACAAAGTGTCTTCACTGGAAGGCTTCTTAAATCCGTCCTTTCCTCAAGCCACTTATTCATTCAATTATCTATTTTACTTATTGTTCATATTTTTATTGTAACAGATTGTAAATAAAAATTATAAAAATAAAAAAAAAAAAAAAAAAAAATTGGGAAACTAGATTATTCTGTTCTTAAAAAAATCTACTTGCTTATAAAATATATATTATTAATATAATGTTTTTGTTAATAGTATAATGTGTTTGTACTCATAATACTTTATAATCTTTACAACATTTCCTAGGTAGTAGGTAAGGATAAGTATTTAAATCTGAATGTAATAATAATAATTACTAATTATTAATTATCTATAAACATTTAAATACACTTAATACATGTAAGATGTGATTTAACTAAAATGTATTCTATTTAGGCACCTGGTATGGTTGCCATTAATTTATACAAGTAAATATTAATTAAGTTGAGGAGCTGTAATAACTATAATTAATGAAAAAATATTTAGGGCCGTTCTTACAATGTCCGGTAAAGTGTCGGTTAACGCTAAACGACTGATAACAGATTTTATTACCGGCAGAATTCTTCCGGTTAAGTGTCGGTTAACTTTAACCGGACATCGTAAGAACGGCAATTAATTACATTGGGTTATCTATTAACCATAATTTATAGAACCATCACAATCAGCCACTGCTTTCAATAGATAATTGATTTAATTTTAAATATTAAAAATTGTATAAATTACAAAAAATTCAGTGCTGGCTACTTTTTTTATCGCGGGCCATAAAAAAATATATTCTTGACGGCCCAAGAATTAACACAACGTACTTGATCAATTTTTTTATTGTACCTACATTGTAATGGCTTGATTTGAATATAAAACATTTTGACGAGTTAGTGGACAAATATTAAATGATTGCAAGCTGTAGTTGGCCAACCCTGCTCAAGGACCAGACCAAGGTAATTTGCTGCCATCGGGGGGGGGGGGGGGCTTCACTATTAAATTTTTAGCAACCCTCTAGTGTCATAAAAATTACATTTGTATATTGGTTTTAATTATTACTTTTAGGAAAATTGAAGAAACCACTGGTCGTGGTATCTAAATTTTACCACTACCATAATAGCACAATTATATTATAGATAAAGACATTCCTATAAACAACAAATATTATATCTCTATTTCTATGCTATTGACTATCAAATAAAAATAACTTTTCCTTATCAATCAAAATGTAATGAATCAAAGATTCTTCTAAAAAAAAAATGGACATAAATACCTAATTCAAATTCTTTTAATATTATCTCCACAAGATAATGATAGTTAATTATTGAATAAACTTTATTGATAGTAATCACAATTTAAAGGCAATTACTTATATTTTAGATTTATTTGTAAGCTACACAAATTATTGTACACCTAAATATGGTTATTTATTTAGGGAGAGCGCTACACCAGCTTGCGTTCTCTCTGTCTTACAAACACATAACATACCAAATTATACGCTCAGCAGATCATGTTAACAGACTCATAAATATATGTGTACTTGGTATACACTATATTGTATATATTATACATATATATATTATATATGTATATATTATACTTATACATATATATATTATATATTAAAAACTATATTATTAAACATTAAATATCAATACAAAATCTTGATATATCTAATTATGCTTATTATAAATAATTGAAAAAATTTTTTTTTTAATATAATGATAACTAATGGAACACACTATAGCTAATTTTAAATATTAGGTAGGTAAATAGATTAACTATTAAATGATAAATTATACCTCAAACCTCGGTAGTTAATATAGATAATAAATATTGAATAAATTATTATGTTACTCTTCTGGTTGATGAAGCATTAAACTATTAAAATAAACCATTAGGTATTTCAAAGCTTAACAAATGTAACAGTTTCGGATAACTAGATTGGAATTGTCTCATCGTGAATCAAGCCTAATGTACAAATTAAATCCTTAATATTTAAAAAAAAAGTACCTATGGTATAATACTGAACATCATAATATAATAAAACATCATTACTTTTTACAATACCTTATATTAAAGAAACACTTAATCATTACTTTGTACCAAAGTAGTATTTACAGGCATTAATGAAAAAGAAAAATAATGAGTAAGATATTACATTATTCTTACCAGAATCAGAACCTGTAGCTCCATTTGAAGCTTGCCCTGGAAATCAAAATGAAAAATGTACAGATTAGACGATTGCCAGAGTAGTAAAACATTGTTTGTACATCAATATTGTCTCGTAAGGACTAAGGGGTAAGCATAGCAGTGACCGTCTGGTAGCAGTCAAATGCTGGGACCATTAATTGACATGATAAAAACAAGTACCTCGTCTCCGACTCAGTCTCGCGTCTCCGGAGGACATGTTAAATTGTTATTTCGATGACCGGCAATACCAAAAAGACAAATGGCGCGTTACCCGGAGATGGGAATCCACGAACCTATAACTACAGTCCCTGGGTCATGGGGTTGGTTTTTTTCTTTATGTGGAGGAATGATGCCAGATTGCCAGCCGTTTTATCTGTTAGTTCAATTTCGTCGCGACAAAAGAAAAGGAACGAGACAAAAGCACGGACATATGTTAGAGGGGATGACTAGTGTGTGTGTGTGTGTGTGTGTGCGGTCACATGACGCGGGAACCAGGGAAACCACCCACACGGACTCTGGACAAGAGTGATGCGAGCGATAATCGTTTCGGCCGCCGGTCCGGGGAGAAAAAGCAATATTTTATACCGGCGCAATGAATGCGATATCACCTATGCGGCTGCTCCGGGGTCAGCCATCTTGGATTCACGGATCCGTTATCTCCCGGGAAACGGCGGCAGGTCGTACGCGCACGCCGCCGCCGCCGTTTAATAGCGCGCGCCGTCCCGGTGCTTACGCGATGCATTTAAAACAACAAACTCACTTTGACTCTGGGGCTGATCATCGCCGCTCTCTCGGTCCGACATCGTCCGACAACGCACAGTCACACAAACCGCCGCCCCGCTCTACTTGGCGCGCACACACACAGTTCACACACTCGTCGCCTGTCTGAGCGACTCCTCTGGTCGGTCGGTCGGTCGCTCGCACGCTCACGCACCACCACCGCACAACACACACACACCAACACGAGAACACGCGCGCACACCGACACACGACAACTCCACCGACGCACAGCCGGCCGAACGATTTTTTGCCGTTTCCCCGCTACTTGCCGCCGTTCCCTCGTCTGTCAGCAGTCGGCGGGCTCGTACTCTCACTCTCTGACCACTCTCTGGCGGGGGCACTCAAAATCCATGGCGCGCGCGCGCGCTAACGCTAGCTCACTCTCCCAGTTACCCCCCCGGTCACCTCCACGACCACCCGATCACCTCGTCGCTTAACGCACGCGCGCCGTTTCGCTCGTTCTTTGACCGTCAATTTTCGTTTTTTACGCGCCGGAAAGTTCCTTGTACGGACGGGATCAGCTGCTGATCGGCGGCGTCGATGAACCGTTGGTGTGCGTGCGCACACCCGCGATAGCGCGGCGCCGCGCCATCTGCTAGAGTATAGATCGACCGTTTTCGCGCGCCGGCCACAACTCACAAGACAGATTAACTCGCGCGGCGCAACTTGCCAGCTGATCGAAACTGTATAGCAGCTGTCCTCAGAATATTATAACACATAAATAATGTACATATTACATAGTAGTGATAGCACCTACCTTATATTATTATGTAACGAGTAACGACGTCGGCGCACTTTGCGGGTGGGTATTAATCACCCCACCCGGCCCATCGCAGCCGTTTCGGGCTTTCGATCAGTAAACTCGTAGCCTTCAATCATCTGTGTGGTGGGTGATGAGGGTCGAGGGGTTCCGAAGACGAAAAGATAATTCCAATTTTGCAATTGACATTCCGCAATTGAACTTTGAAGGATGCGATTGAATTTAGAGTGAACTGTATAAAATATTAAAATATAAATATATAATTGCCTCAATGCCCTAGCTCCCAGTCATTTCCTCAAAAGGCGAAAAAAGCTGTCTGGGTGGTTGCTATTTGTATTTTAAATAAAATATAATACATTCGTTTATTAAATACCTGTCTATATAATTATTTTTGAATTGTTCCTGTAAAAAGTACGCTTGCATCAAGGCCATTATTTCATATTTATAATAAGTGGTTTAGTACTTTAGTGGCATAATCGATATTCGATACATACATACAGGCGGATACAGTATATAAATGTGTATAATACACTGGAATACTGGATACCTACTTATGTATAGGACAGGTATATTTTTTACTTCCACCCATGCCTTTCCTTCCAAGGTGTTTTTAGCGGTATCGGACGTTTCCCCCCTGATGTGATATACAATTATTTTTATTAAGGACTATTTTTTTTTATTACTAAATCTGATACAGGTAGAACAAATAATATTTCGAAAGGGTGGAATAATACATTTACAACACTCGTCTGAGTGGTCTGCATCAATCATCCAAGTATGTGACTTTTCATTGAAGCTCTACAGATAAATACAGATTAGCAACTCAAGACTCAAGTGCATCGCCGTGGTCTATAGGTCTATTACAATTTTAATTATAGAATAGGGGTTTTCCATAATTATTTTTTGGTAATGATGATAATATGTTAAAAAAGTGATGTGAACATTTTTCAAATGAAGATATTTTGAATTTCTTAACTTCAGGGACTTATCAGCTATCTTCCAAAAATAAAATATATTAGTCAGATTTTTTGATTTTTATTATTTAATTTTCTATTTTTAATATAATTATGTTAGTGAATTTTGTATTAGTATTATTATGACGTTCAAATTTGAATTATATTTTTACATATATTAATTTAACTAGTTGTTAATTTATTGATTTGCATGCTATATTATTGTTTAATATTTAAAATTTTAATTTGAGGGGGGGGGCTCCAATGATTCGGGGCAAAGGCATGAGGGTGAACGTCCTAGATTCCCTAATAATATCCTATCCTTATAGGTACCTAGCTAAACAGATTATACCTACCTAATACATATTACAATGATTCAAATGTACAATATATAATAATCATTTAAGAATAAACTATATAGGAATATAGGAATACGATATGAACCTTGTAATAACTATTATATCTTACAGAGTGCTATAAGTTATAACTTTATTCTAACCTTGAACCTGCTATTGACTTTATTATACAATATAGTATATTATATTGAATATACACTGTCAGATTGTATTGTTTATACGACGTCTCTATTGTCTCGGAGCAACACGACTAGTGGTGGCTCTAGGGGGGAGGGCCCAAGATGTATTTCTAAACAATTTTATGCTGTTAAAATCAAAATTACAAAAAAAAATCATCGAAATTTTCTGAAAGTTATAAGTTGCCTTCCCCCCCTCTCGAGTAGTCGAGTCAAGCTCAAGCATACAGTTTTAAAAATAAGGCAAATATTGCTAAAAGATAATATTGATAATGATAATTATAATTGATAGGTAGGTAACATGAACAGAACAATAAATATTACATTATCAATGGCGCACACTCAAAAATAAATAGGGGTAGCATATATTATATATTTTCTATGGATAGCATATTGAATCAGTTAAGTACCTATATATTGGATAATGCCTAATAGCTTATGTATTATTCAATATTTTTATATGCAGAATTTTTATGATGTAGATATTTTGGGACAAAGGGGTCCACCCACCAAAAAAATCAAGATCGGCAGCCCTAACCCGTGAACCCTAAAGTGTGTGTCATTGTATATTATATTATGTGCTAGGTAGTACCTACTATCTAGGTACCTAGCCAATTATGGTAATAAGTAGTAACTGTATACTTTAATAAATCGCTATAGAGTATAGAGTATGTCAGACCATATAGTTATACGGGCTGTATTTTTAATAGGTGCGATCGTTTAATAAAAATCATACTAATAGTATGAGGTAGTAGTATAGTCGCTAGTGGGCCAGTCGGGAGATTGTTGAATAATTGGTCACGTTGAATGTTGAACTACATTTTTATTTAAAAATAATGGCCAGGTATTAAATGCGCTATACCTACTAGAGCAGTATCACAGAATAAAGCAATATTCACTGTCACTTTCTAATTCTACCAAAGATCTCTCTCTTTTCAGTATGACTCACTCTAACTCAGTAGTCTACTGGAAGGTACAACAGGTAGTTGTCACTGACACCGTGCATGCCATTCTTGTGAATATTGGTGATAATGCATTTTTTTTTTAAAGATAAAAAGTAATTTACGCGATTAAATCATGAACACGATGTGAAGACTAAAAATAGTTTATACATTTCAAATAATATTATTATACTGTAATTTATAAGTGATCAAAAGTATGTGTCTAGTGTTAATGGCTCGTTTGTTATTATGTTCAATTTTATTACTCGAAAGTAATTATGGAAACTTCAATGCCCTAGAATAAAAAATAACATTTATTGACATCATTTTTATCCCACAGGGAACTATGTCATAGGTACTGAGTATAGAGGTAAATCACTAGGAACTCTTAACTCATATCATCATCAAGTTGGTGGTGAAGTGTATGCTGTTAATGAGTATACACTTTTGATATCAGATTTTACATTTGATGGAAGTGCGAATGACGCATTTTTCTGGGCAGGTGCTTCTAGTAGACCAGGGCCTCAAGGATTTATTTTGGCTAATGAATATGGACGGTAAGAAAGATGATTTCTTAAATTATCTACCTGTACTTATTTAGACTATTTGTAAAAAGCAAATTCATTACTTACTGAATGAAAATGTATTAAAATATTATTATGTTATTTTATTTTTATATTATCATTATAGAACGGATGTGCTTAAACGATATTTAGGAAAAGAATTAAAATTAACCCTTCCCGATAATAAAAAATTGACTGAAATAAATTGGCTTGCTATTTATGATCTTTCCAAAAATGTAAGAAGTTTCGTGTCTTATTTTAACTAGAATAAATATCTTATCAACATTATTAAATTATAATATACATTTAATTTAGATTGCGTTTGGCGATGTTTATGTCCCAGAAGATTTTGAACCACCAATTAAACAAGTTATTGGTGATCTTACAACTAAATCACATGGAGTTTCATCAGGACCAATTGAAATATTAGATTCTAAAACAATCAAGATTCCTATGTTTTCTTACAATGGTGCTGGGAAAGGTAAACATAAATCAAATATTATTTCTTAAAATTAAATTAATTTAAACATTTTTTAATTTTTCATAGACACTTACTTTGTTGTTGGGAATGGACCTCAACCATCAGCTAAAGGGAAAAAAATTCCTGATGAATCAGGATAGTGAGTAGATATTTTACAAGGTTAATTTATTTAAAATGTATTTAATTAATTTGATTTTGTTACAGCCTAGACAATTTAAGAACTTATTTAAATGAAACTATTATACTAGAACTGGTTGGAGACACTACAGTTTTTGACATAGATTGGTTGAGCGTGTATGATTTACAAACTAAAGACAATTTTGGGTGGGTTTTAATACCGGATGAACCGAATGTACCCCCATCATTGCAAAAAGTTGCTGTAAGTATTATTACAGTAAGTTCCCGTTACAACGAATACCGATACAACGAAAAATCCCGTTATAACGAAAGTCCTAGAAGTCCCCTACAGAAAATCTATTAAGCTTTTCTAATGACCTTACAACGAAATTTCCGTTATAACGAAAAAAAAATGTGGTCCCTTGGAGTTCGTTGTAACGAGAACTTACTGTATAATGAAGTAACAACTTTTAGCAAAATATAAAATAAATATTTATTTTAGGATAAAATAGAGAATATTATGCATTGTGTTCAATTACATAAAAAGCTTCAACTGAGTTGGCAAGTATTTGGCCCTCAAATTACAATAAGACTAGCAGGACAAATAGATGAAGATAATTATATGGCATTTGGATTTAGTGGATCTGAAGAAGCCCCTCAAATGCTAGGAGCTGATATTGCTATAACATACATTGATGGTTTTAGAGGCCAAGCAATGGATTATAATATAACAGACAAATCTCCAGTTTGTAGAGATATTTTTTATTTAAATGTACAAAATAATATTTAATTAGCAATTTTTATTATAGTGTGTGAAAGTATTGGGGCAGTATAAAGGAGTATGTAGGGACACTCTAGTTGGTGGATTAGATGACAATCAAGTACATACTGCAACTAGAGAAAACGGGATCAATGTCATAACATATAGAAGAAACTTACAATCATGTATGTCTATTTAATCAATCAATTAATTTACAATTATATCTAATAGAACTATAGAAGTTATGCTAGGAATAGATCAATTTTTTTTTCATTTGTTTTACATGTTTTAAACGTTAAACACTTTCTATTTTGATCATAGAGAGTTTAATATACTACTACTTTATTTATAATATAGTTATTGTGAAAATATTCCAATTATTATTTTCATTATGGTTTAAATTATAAAACTCAAAATTAAAATGTATACTAATATTAATATAGAATAACATTTTTTATCTTAGATGATGTTGGAGACAAAGAGTTTAAGACAAATACATTAAATTCAATGATCTGGGCAATTGGTCGTATGAATCATCAAAAAGAACCTAGTGTTCATGATTTTTTCCCAAGAAGTGTATTAAAACTTGACCTAGATCCTAAGCCTCCGATTGATACTTGTTACTCATTTACTGTGAATACTGAAACTGTAAAAAAGTACATTTTTATTCATAACGTAAAATTTATATTTATTTATTTTTTAAATAACCGTTATTTTTAGAGATGTATGGGAACAACCAAAAATCATTGATTCGAGTTTACGTATGATGACTGCTACTTTAGGTCCATCAGGTGGGAAAAAAGGATTTCAAGGTCTAACAGGTAATTCATTTAAGTTTATTATATTCAAACTTGTTGAAAAAAGTTAAATTGTTAAATGTTTTTTTTATTAAATTTTTCTGTAGGATTACCTTCACCTGGTCTTGCATGGTTTATAAATGGATATTTAATACCTGAAATATGGTTGAAACGTGGAATTACATATGTAATACATATTTATGGGGGCAACAACCCTCACAGTTCACAGTATTATCATCCATTTGTAATAACCGATGAACCAAATGGTGGCTATGATGGTATGACAGATGTTGCACAGAAACAAACAAGAATATTAGCTGGTGTTCAATATACATTAAGGAGACAAGCTAGACCTACTTCTGGTAAATAAGTCTGTCGTATGATTGTAATTTTATAAAAGTAATAAATATTTTAATGTACCTATTTAGCGGGCCCATTATGTTTACGTGAACGAAAAGGATTTGATCGCCGTTTAGATGATAATTTTATTTCATTTAAAGAATTCAATAAATCATTGGATATGAGATGTGAACCAGGTCAACTAAAGCAAATATTTTAATTTTTTGTATTCAATAAAAGTAAAAATGATTATGTATTTTAGGAGATCCAGCTGTATTGGAATTTAAACCAAATTCTTCTTGGCCAGATATAGTATATTACCATAGTTTTGTTCAAAGCAATATGGGCTGGAAGTTACATATTGTTGACAAATTTAGTACAGGTAGAAATTCAGCTGCTCAAGTACAATTTAATTGGCTCTTAGGAATATTGCTCTACTTAATTTTTACTCAAATGTGATATTTTAGAATTAAATTTATTTGTATATACTACAGTTATAAAAAATAAAATAATTTATGCATAAAAATAAATAACAATTCTTAATGCTTTTAAAATTAATATCTATGTCTAAAAAATTAAAAAAAAAATTTAGGTATTACCAAACCGTTACCAAATTGTGTACATAGAAATATTCAAAATCACTATTACTATTGTTTAGTGAAATAAAACACATCTGTCAAGCTAAAATAGCCTTTTTTACAACAAGAACACTTTACTTGCATCAAGAAACATTAGTCTAAACACAAGAAAATATCTATTGAAGACAATGTATGGAGTATAGCCGTTTATGAATGTGAAACTTGAACGGTATCAAGTATCAACGGAAGACCGAAAATATAGTTAGAAGACAAAACGAATGGATAGGCCATATAATGTTGCACGAATGATTGCTAAAACTGATTATAAAAGGAAGTGTAGAGGGGAAGAACAATAGGGGAAGACCAAGATTAGAATATATTCCACAGATAATAAAAGACCAAGAATACAACTCATAAGTAGAAATGAAAAAGAAAGCGGATAAAAAAGAAGAATGGAAGATGGCTGCAAACCAATCCACAGATTGAAACTATAGAAAGAGAATGGTATTGCACAATTGATAAAAAACAATTATTAAACTATTTATAAATAGTATACAAAATCTACACTTATACTATTAATTTAACAATTATAATGTTGAAGATTGGTTGCTCATAACAACAATAATTTATTTAAAACAATGAAAATAATTCTATGAAATATCGTACAGTCCATTATTAATTTAAGTAAAACTACAATTACTTTTCTATTAATTCTAATTATTTCTCTCGACATTAATTAATTACTATTTTTTTTTTTTTGCAATGGCTGAATATGAGTTTTTTTCTGGAAATGAATTGGTTCAACATGTAGAACTAAAATTTAAATCTTTAATCATCATAATATCTGAGATAAAACAGTCTAGTCTCAATTATGAGTTTGATCCATCAATACGTAATGATATTAATGAGTATATACAAATTGTAGAAACAGATTGTCAGACAATAATAAATGATATTAAAAATAATTTGTTTTCAAACAAAATATATCATAAGACTCAAAATATTTACGGTAATACATTTTAAGTAATTATAAAAAAAAATTGATATATTAATTTTTTTATAACAAAGATGATAAAATAATGCTGCCGTCAATGTGGATGATAAATAATGAAGACTACTACAAACAAAAAATGCAAAAATTTGAGGTTGAAATCAATTCTAAAGTTGATGATGTAACAAAATCAATTGGATCAACTACAGATATTTTGAATGCATATTATAAAGAAAAGTAAGTTTTTAAGAACTGTAATTAAAATTATTACTTAAAACACAGTAGTTGTATTCAAACATTTTATTTAATATACAAATAATTTATTAGCTTATTACTTGATGAACAAACTAATGACATTTATCAGAAATTAAATTTACAAAAAGATATACTTAATCAAGAAATTGATAAGTTCAATAACACAGATGTCATGTTAAAAGATGCCTTTGGCAAATGGAAAGAAAGTCTTTTAAAAAAAAATGATGAAAATGTCTTGTTGATGAATGAAGCCCGTAAATTGATATTTAAATATCAACAACACATGTATGCTTAATATTTATTTTATAGGGAGCATATATAAAATATAATTAATTTTTAAGAATTTAATGTTACGGGAATACTATTGTACCTAAAGTATAAAATATTCTAAGAGTTTTTGCATCTGCTTAATTTTTATTTTTGAGGTGACATGGTGTATTAATGGTGTTTATAATCATTTGTCATTACCAAGTGGTTAGTAGTTAGTTATTACTTATTAGGTATTCTGGCATAGGCGCAAATAGCGTTTGGGATTGGGGGGGGGGGGGCTAAAGCCTTACTTTGATAATATTGAATAAGCTTAAAACAAAATGTAATAAATATTTGGGGGAGGCTTAGGCCCCAAAGCCCTTCCCCTCCTATTTGAGCCAATGGATCCTGGTATTCTATGGTTATTGCAGACTGTTGTTATCTTTATTGTTTATTAGCTTTAGGCTTATTGTCTATATCATGAAAAAAGGTGAAGGACCTTTTTTTTATGGCACAATGTATTGAATCACATGTATTCAATCTGTGTTATGCTTTGGCATAAATGCATAATGGGTCAACATTTTTTAGATTGGGATAGAGAGGTAATGAAATTGAAAATAATAAAATATACATATAAGAACTATTTTTAGTAATATTATCTATTTATTATATAAAAATGAATGTTTGTGTGTGTGTCCTCTATGCATTCCTAAACGGTTGGATTAATTTTGATGAAATTGTTTGTGTTTGTTTGAATGATTCCCGGAATGATTTAGATTTACAATTGGACCCGCTGGAACCTGTAGGTACAACCTTGGGGCCCGGGGGAATATACGAATATGACGAATATAATACTTAGGAGTTAATAATTATTTTCTTACATGTATTGTCTGTATTGAAAATTTGTACAACATTTTACATTTATGGTTTTCAGAATTTTTTTAAAAAAATAGCAAATTCTGTCTGGAGCTACCCCATTTTACGGTATTTATTTATTATTGCTTGCCATCGGGCAGCTCAGGTACAAGCTTACATACAATTAAATGTTCGAACATTGTCTACCAGGGTGGCTGAGTTATACCCAAACAGTGTTGAACAATCAACATTTGGTTAAGAGTTGCCATTGAAGTCTGCGGGATCAGCTAGTATTAAATATATTTCCAAAATAATAAAATTTATAATTAGCTTGGCGGACTTGTTCGGAAATCATAGACCTGAAAGCCATAGGTAGGAGACCCCTGATCTATATTATATTCAAATTTAATACCTACAATCTATATAAAAATAATAGGTAAACAATTTAGATAATTAAGAATTTTAAGTAAAACTTCAATGTCTTTTTATCGATTAATAACTACTGAATAACCATAATAAGTAATTAAAAACTATAACTAAATACCTAGTTATAAATTATTATTTTTAATTTACATTATTGTTTGATATAATATAGGTTAATGGTAAAGAATAACATTATGAATATAGTTGAGTCAGTGTCAAAAAGTATTTCAGTGAGGGCCAAATGTCTGCAATTAGAAATTTGTTTAATTTGGGAGGGAGAAACAATTTTAAGAATGTATAAAAATATTGAGAAACTTATTGAAGTAAACAAACAAAAATTTGATTGTTATAATGACCTCCAATTTCAAATGGGGAACATTAATACAGCAATAAATAAAGACTTGGATGATATTAAATTTGAAAGTTCCAAAACTATTAGTAGCATATCTAATCAGATTCAAAAATATAATAATGTTAAAATAATAGCTGAAGAAAAAAATAGATTCTTAGATGAGTTACATAATAAGATTCCTGTTACTGAAGAAATTCTACTACACAGGTTAAGTTTTTGAAGAGTAATATCTTATTATTATTATTTATTAATTATTATCATACTATAATAGTATACTTATACTAGTGGCTACCAGGGCCGTCCTTTGAGGGGGGCGTGGGGGGGTGTCTAACCCCCCCACTCATGATTTTTTAAATATTTAGTCGGCAAATTGGACACTTGGTAAAAGTTGTCGGCAATTTGGCATCGTCAGTATTTTAATAGTATTTTTATTATTTTCAAAATAATATATTTGTATATAATATTATATTTCTATAAAAGATAAAGACGACGACGACGTCGACACTTCGATTACACCGAATGCTAAAAATAGATGTGTTTATCTACTATCTACTAGTGCATTGCGCGACTGTTGTACAACACGTAAGTATGTAAACTGTTACCCGTAGTCGTATGTATTGACTTATTCTTGGTATTATAAAATATTATTTTATCATTCTTGAAATTTGTTGCACATTTGCAGTCGATAGTAATGTTATCAGTTGTCGTCTACTGACTACTCGTCTATTCGACATTTCGACTATTCGTCCGAGGTTAGTGGTAACGTCTAACGTGTTCTGTAGCTACCTACTAGAAATTAACTGTTTAGTCTTCTATTTATTATAATTTTAATATTATGTGATTATTTTAGATTCTGAGTGAAACGATGAATGTATTGATTTTACAATGATGTGTGTTTTTTTATTTTTTTGTGTGTCTGTGTACACGATAAGTAGTAGAAATAATGCATCGATTTTCAACTTCAGTATCTTGTTCGATTGGAAAGTGAATATCGTTGATGCGTTGGGGAGGTCAAAATTTAAATTTCACAGTAGTTTTCAAAAGCGCCAGGAAAAACAAAAGAAAAATTAAGGAAAAACGGGAATTTTTACGCAAAATCTGTTTTCGAGAAAATCGATTTTGGTTTTTGGTGTAACTTTAAAACAAATGACCGTAGATACATGAAATTTTCAGTAGTTGTTTATATTTGTATTTTCTATACAAGATAACATTTTCAAAATATTTTGATTTATTTTGAACTGTTTAGGGACATTTTCAGTTTCCAATTTTATTAGTTTTTTTTTTATGAATATCAATAAAAATTTATTTGTTGAGTAAAAATACTTGAAAATTTAATACAAGGCTCCTACTATATTGTTTCAAAGACAGATGAAAAATATTAAAAATCGTTAGTCACAGTTTTTTTTTAAGCATTTAAAGTTCAAAAAATGACAAAATATGGAAAAATCACGAAAATTTGCAAATTATTTCGAGTTAGAAATTCATAAAAATTTTTCTTTTTAAATCTAAAATATGAAAATGTAATACAAGATTCCTTATAAGATTTCCTACATTTATCAAAAAAAAAAATTCTATAAGAAAGTCAAATTAAATTTTTATGAGCGTTTGAAATTCAAATTTTTACAACATTGGATATTCACTCAATTTCTCATGTGGCGATTTCCTTATTTTGTTGTAATTCAAAAACAAATTACTGTAGATACATGAAAATTTCACTGAATGTTTATATTAGCATTTCCTATACACCATACAATTTTGAAAATATTTTGACTCTTTTTGAGCCGTTTACGGACATTTTCAGTTTTCAATTTTTTTAGTTTTTTTATTCAATAAATATCAATAAAGTTTTATCTGTTGGGCCAAAAAGTGTAAAAAATTAATACAAGGCTCCTGATATATTGTTACAATAGCAATTGAAAAATATTAAAAATACATAGGCACAATTTTTTTTTATAAACATTTAAAGATCGCATTTTGACAAAATGTATCAAAATTTCGAAAATTATCAACCATCGTAATTAATAAATTATAAAATGTTCAGTTTTTATAGCTAAGGATTGAAAATTTAAAAAAAAGATTCTCATAAATAGTTCATACTGTAGCCAAAAAATCTAAAAAATATATGAGCACAATTATTTTTTACAGACATTTTAAGTTCAAATTTGGGACGAAATTACATATTAAAAAACCTAGCATACCTATTTTAGTTATTTTGTTGTGAGTGTATAATACTATTCGTGGGTACTTATTGAAACTTCTTAAGTACACTATATTATATATCTATGATAGTATCAGGGTTTGTTATTGATGTATAGGTAACGCGTTATAAGTACCTAATGGATATTGTGATATGATTAATTTGGAATTTATTATAGGTCAATTTTTTTTTTTAATACCATAGTTATGTATATAATATGTCTTAAACCTAGACTGACATACCGTCTTCGCTCAGAATCGTTTTTCTTATACAATGATATTGTATCATTGAATTCAAATTTAATAGCATCCATTATACAGTGACCCACTTGTAACCTACTGCACAGCAGAGCGACATCCACTTACCCACCTTTTTTTTTAATATGAATACCTAATACCTACGACCTACCTATATATTATGACCAAAATTTTATAATAACCTATAATATTGACTATTATAAATAGTAGAATAACAAATGTAGAAAAAAGTTTTCTTGTCCAATGTACGGTTAGGTATATCCAGAGCCTTACTTAGGAACTTTGGAGCCCGGGACTTCTATTTTGTGTCTGCCCCTTAACTTGAATGATAAATTTGGGTTATTAATTTAAATATGTATTCAATTTATTTTTTAAGATTATAAATAAATTATACCATAAATCATAGGTAAGTCTAACCTTATGACTGTATTAGAGTGCCTAATTCATGAGGTCAACAAAATTATGGGCTTACAAATTATCAAATACTTTACAAGGCGAGGGGCCCTGGGCAGATGCTCCTTCTACCTTGCCCTTCCGCCGACGCTGGGGGTTGCGCTTTGGGTCTTTATTTGTTAGGTACCTAATATTTTTATTTTCACATGAGCAACTAATAAAGTAAAGAATTTTTTTTCTTCTTTTATTGGTCTTAACCATTGGCAACTATTTGTGAGGGGAATTACGGTTGGTTAAGGGACACATTACATGTGTGTTTGTGGGTTGGGATTTGTCGAAGAAACCCTGATGGTCATAAATAAATGGTATAAATTAAATAATAATATAAATATAAATATAATATAGTAGAAAACGTATTCGAGCGAAGCGAGAAAAAAATTTTTCAGTCGGCAAATTAATAGATCTACCACCCCCCCATGAATTGTTGTTCGGGACGGCCCTGGTGGCTACTACTTAAATTATACATGTCTTATATCAATATATAATAATTATGTATTATGTAGATATTTTATATAAAATTATATTACTTTTCATTTATACACTACAAATTAAATAAAAATAACAACTTGGATGTAGGTAGATTATTTTCTTCATCACGTATGTGTGACGTGTAACAATAATTTATCGGCCATTCAAATATATATATTGCTGGTTGAAGGTTTGTAATTGTCCATCATTTGATTTTTGAAGTTAATAATTATTTTATTAATTAATATTTAGACATTACTTAATGAATAATGAGGTTATTAATTATTATCAATTATAAATTATAATAGAATAATATGCGGGTCTTATACTTTTATTGTATGTTATGATTTTGTCAATAATTGACATGAACAATTTTTTCATGTATCCCGTCATCCAGATTTCAGTTCTGTTGATTTGCATAAGATCACACTGACACTGTACATAGAGCCCCAATATTCACCAAGTCAGCTCAGTCCATTATAACATCACTGTTTTAGTTACATACCTATTGGCTATTATTGCCTACTTATTAGTTATATAGAGCTATTAGCTATATGTTATAATATATATAAATACTAATTACTATTAATCAAATATTTAAGCAGCTTATTGTTGTGTACACTTATTATCTAAATACATAGATGTGCGCACGAGTATGGCTTGTATATAGCTATACGGGCGCCAATAGGGTAATTTTCAGGGAGGGGGACAAAATTAAACTAGATTCCGAAACCTATTATTCTGTACGAACATAAAATTATTGGTTCACTGATTAAGTGATAGGTGATAGGTAAGCATTAAACAAAAGTCTATGGTATCAAGTATGGTATTAAATATGAAATAAGTGGATTCAAAGCATAAATAAATTTTTTTGTAAGCTTTATTATTTTTTAGGGTGGGCATGTCTCCCACTTTGCCCCCTAATGGGCGTCCTTTGCCCTTGGGGCTATAGCCACACCTTAAGTTTTTTTTTAGTTTGGCACTTTGGCCAAAAAATACTATACCCTAAACTCTAAAGTCTTTCCTTTCTACCTGGTGGAATTTTGAATAATTTGCTCAGATTTACCTTTTTTACAACTCACTTGCGCATAATTTACGAACAATATAGAAACCTTTTTTCAAAGGAATTTACCCACATTAAAATACATTTTAAATTTTTGTTTGAATGTCTGGGTATATTTTATTTATGAATATTTTAGTATGTATACTTTTTTGTGGGAGTTGGGTGGGTAGTTGAAGGGGTGGGTGATTAAAAACATAATAGCCACATCGCCCACGCCCCACATCTGCTAGTTGCTGCATAAGTCTGCACAAGTTTATGCTTAAGTATTTATTTATCGTAATATAAAATAATCATACATCTACATTCTACGTCTTAATCCTTAAGGGGATAGCAGACAGACATTATTTTATAACAACAAGTAATAACCTTGAGTCCTTCGCACTAATTTAAGTTTTAACTAATAAAACGATGACATTTCTGAATTTCACAAGTTAATGTAGGATCGACCATACCACTTTTTGAATTAGAACATTTAATCTCCCCTAAACTTTTTTCTAAGATCTTTATTACTGAAATTTTCCAAAGTATTATTAATGATAAATTAAAATTTGTTTACAGAAGTTTTATCGAAATCCTATAAATAGATTAATCGGTATGATAGACGAAACGTTCCTCCCTAATACATGGGTTACACTATGTAGCCTACATAGCCACATAGGTACGTACTACGTAGTACTATTATATCTTTTAACCAGGAAAAAACTATAATATTCTTCCGCGATAATAGCCGCATGCGGAAGTTCCGCGTTATAGTGGAGTGGTAGCCGGTAGGGCATGTGACG